GAGGCACATCTTATATAAAAAGCACAGGGGGAGTAATAGAACAAGGAAGAGAGAAGGGGAGAGGAATTTGATAGGAAGTCACTTAAGTACATCATGTGTATCCAAGCTCCCAAAGCAGAGGGAATTCCACTGATGGCTCTGGAAGCATCAAGCACCTTCTCTAGCCCACAAGATTATTAACAGGAATACCTGATAACTCCTTGAAGGAAGTGAAGATAGGAAAGYACTTTATGCCAGCCTTGAAGTGAAGGAAAGGCCAAGAAGAGAGAGAGCTGCAGCAGTCAAGAACTGGATTCCAGGAAACTCAAWTCAGCAGAAGAAYAARGCTCTTGCATGAACAGAACTGGATACAGTCAAATCCACACAGAAACTGTATGGGGATAACAATGCCTTCATTAATTGTCCCCCCTACTTGGGAAAGGAGAGCCAAAAAAATTTGAGATATAAAGTGGACAGTGAACATAATTCACTCAGCTTTCAAAAAGTTTTAGTTGAACTCCTTTCACAAGAGGATAATACTGTCATGAAATTAAAACTTTCCAGGGTTTCAGTTAGAGATTTTTGGAGGTGGCTGAAACAGGAAGTGGTGAAAATGYATAGTGGCAAAGAATTAGACTTACTAGTTCACAGAAACGAATAAACCCAGACCCATCATGTCAGAAAAATAAATATAAACTACAGAAAATGAAGYCATAGTGAGACATACTGAAAATTCCTAGTGAAATCTATCAACATCTAATACAGGCTAGTACAAGTTTTCATGCACAAATTTAGAAAACAAGTGACTATACTTTTCAGATTTTACTTTCAAGTTTCAGACTCCATCTAAGTACTCTAAGTAAAATTTTTAAAAGGTAAAAAGAAAAAAAAGTAGAATGTGTTATTCTCAAATTCTTCCTTCTTTCCTGTTTTTCTTCTATTTAGAAAAAAAGAGAACAAACATAGATAGAATGTAGTCAAAAAATGCAGATACAACTTATTGTGTCCATATGTCAACGTTTCTGTTTTGGAAAGAAATACCTGAAAAGAAAGCTTGTTTTTTAATTAACATGTCTAGTGAGACAGTAACACACATTTTAGTTTATTAAGACTAAAAATGAAATTTATGACTTTCAAGAAAAAGAAGCACTTCTACATTTCTATATACTCAAATGTTCTGAAATACTTCTCAGCATAAGACTAGCAAGAAAGTGTGGGAAACATAATTTTCCCATCTTTTTGAAACTTCCCTAATAACTGGAATTTCCCAAGGGAATAGCTGCCTCTAGTAATTAACTTGGTAGAAGAAAACCAGCTTAGCAGTTTTAAATTCTGGGAAAACCATGCCAAGACCCAAGATTAGTTTGGCAAAGAGACAAGAGGGTCTCTGTGATTCAGATCAGGGAAAAGAAGAGGCCAGTGAGTGCTGGCTGTAATCAGGATGACTGGATATTTAAGGAAAAGAATGGACACTGATGTTATCAAAAGGTGGATTTACAGTGTGCCATGAGCTGGACTGCTTCATATCTTGCCACCAAGTCTCACACTTCACATGATTGACTGAAAAATTACAGAAGATAATTCTGGGAGTGACTGGTGGTGGGGAGGATGTGACTRCTGAATTTTGGATTAGTTCAGTTAGCAGAGGATTTAAATAAATCTCTTACTGCTTAATTCACCAAGGAAGAAATGCTGAAAAGGAGCTGGTCAGAACTGAAAAGAAGAAAACAAGGGCAAGGAAATCGTGGCAGGTACAAYCATGWGCCAGACCAACCATGRGCTTTCTTYCAAAYCATTTGGTGACTGTCCCAGTCCTGRATGATTATCTGGATAATATTACACCTATTTAAGTTGGAGTAGGCCTATGATGATTACCACAGGACACTCAACAGATGAAGAATAAGACARTTATACAAAATTAAAAAAGAAATATTTCTCCAGACATTTTGAAGTGTACCTGCAGACTTGCTCGCTTTGGGGGAATGTAGTGTCAAAAGTGGAGGCTGGGTTAGAGAATGAACAGAACATTTCATTAGTTTAAAAAATGTGTCATTCAGCGTGATTAAAAAAAAAAAAAAAAGAAAGAAAAGATAATGAAATCTCATGGTTCAGTAGGAAAGTTCCCTATGGGACTTTTTGAATAATTCTTCTGCTAAGCTCTGTTATTGTGCTATTGGTTAGATACATTATAAATCTCCCTCCAACACTGCCGAAATATTAGCTCTAGATCCAAGGAATGACAAGTTAATAGTACCATTTAAAGTATTTACTGCACTGTGAAGGCACATGTAGAGGTAGAAAAGATAGAAAAGTTCCTGATTCCTCTTCCCTCTGAAATCAGCAAGAASAGATTTTTGATTTGGAATCAAAACTGAGCAGATTTATTGGATACCATTTAAAGATCAGGGTAGGAATTAGAAAAATTTACTATTCCCCTTTTGAGGTCTTATACAATCAGGAATGCAAAAGTGAGCATGACTGGATGAATTATGTCAGCTGTGAAAGGTTCTCTGAAGACTCACACTGGATGTGACAGAAGGAGCTGCAGCCCATGTGTGCGAGTCCCCGAGCTGCCAAAGCACTCCTGGCACTTCACTTCCATCAGAAGAACGGCTCCATGTGAGGATACGAGAGAGGACCCATCCTCARRAAGTTTYATGAGGAATCAGATTTTTGTAGCAGCAGAAAGAACTCTCTGAGATCAGGAAATGGACAGCTGTTGGCACTCAGCCTGCTGAGTTCTGTAAGGAATGATTGCTTTAAACAGTTCAAGCAGGGACTCCTTTTCTGTAAGCCTTCATTGATCTGCATAAATTTCATTTTATGCTACACACAAGAAGGTTTATATGATGTGTTTAAATCCCAAGTATAGGGATTTGCATCAAATGCTAYGCATTCTTTAAAGCTCCTATAGAACCTSAGAAATATACGTAGAATAGCTACTGTACAACCCCCCAAGGTCAGCACTAATAATTCTAAAGGTTTGACAGCATTGTGCTATTGGTTTTTTCAATTTTAGGAGTATGATATTCTGGGACTGAAAAAAAACCTCAAATAAAAGACCTAATATGAACTCAAATAAAAGTAAAATATAAGAGCTCTTAAAGAAACCAGAGGTTGGTCTTGTTTCAGGACTTGCCTTGTGGGAATGAATAGATACCAAGAGCACCAAGAGCTTAAAATTTTGAGAGAACCTGAAATCTGTGATGTGTAAAAATGTGATACCCCTGTGTTCCTATGTTACAAATAATAGGTTATATTCCATGAAGGCGCATACAGCTTGTAAGAATAACAGTCATTAATAATGTACCATGARTTTATTAATTCTGTATCTGCTGAGTTGCATGTAGGCTTGAGGGAAACAATGATTTAGGCTTGAGGGAAACAATGATTGTCCCATGGTGTTCAAAACCTGCTCTTAGGTGGGAGACCAAACTTTCTTAAGGAATCATGAGGTCAGTCCATGAATGGAGGCCCTAAATGTATGATTTTATTCTGTAGTTTAAAACTACATTGAGAAACAGGAAAAGAGGCTGCTGTTTATGGAARTGACTATATTTGAAGAAGCTTTCATTTTTCATCCATTTAGTAAGAAGSTGTAGTATAAATGAGCTGTAAACCAGTAACATTATTACATATTTTTATTATCAGCATTACATGATTTAAATTTGGTTGTTGTGTTCCCTCTCATATTTGCTTCATCATGTTGTTCACTCAACCTGCTAATTGTTTATGTAAAATGACTACTCAAGGAAATTCCTGCTGGATTCCAGTAGGAGTTTTACCATAGAGGAGGATGCTGCACTTCACAATGAGTGTGCACGAGCATGTTTTTATTACTCTGTTCTGCTTTATTCTTTCCACAGCAAATGAGTAGGATTAAGGGTGCATMTTTTGAATGATTGGTGATAATTCTGAGCACTGCAACGAAATCTTTTGACTGCCTGGCTTAGAGGTACTTATTATCCTCATCAGCCTCCCTCGTATCAATACTCCCATGCTGTTATGTCTGTCTAACACACTGAGATAGTCTGGAGCAGGCAAAGGCCAGCTTCACAGACAAAAAGAAAGAAAAAATGAAGAATTAGCCCAAACTTAATTCTGATGCTTGTTCTGGAAATTATTAGGAAATGTGGAGGAAAATCATACACACTACTCATCTTGTCACTAAAAGGGATCATTCATCCACTCTTTACTCTGCTACCACAGCTCCTTCATGTTTTGTACTTACTGGCATTATCCTATCTGCTCTTATTCCATTTCAATTCATTCCTTCACAGTATGATGACATTAGGAACTTGGATACATGAGCACACTATTTTAGTTGTCATGGCATATTTTAGTTATCCTTATCATGACATAATTAYATCACAGATGGATACAAAGGTAAATCAGATACTTGCAAAACAACCACTGAGATCAGTGTGGTTTCATGTACAACTTCAAAAGATAATGAAAAAGTTTGCAAATCTACCCACAGAGGCATAATTTAATCATTCTGCATGTCTATTTGGAAAAATTTAGTTTATTATTAGTTTATAAATATAAAATTTAGTTTATTATTAGTTTATAAATAATAAACTAAAATTTAGTTTATTATTTAGTCTGTGGGAAGAAAGTTGTCAATTAGACAGATATATGCATTTGGATGCATTTTAGGAACACTCTTCTGTTAGGAAAAAAAAAAAKAAAGCAATGGACATCAGAATTCTTCTGGCATAGGCCAGTTTTCTATTCTGGTCTCTACTGATCTGCATCATTCAAATCTCTGACCAAACCAGGATTTAAATTTTTCTTTTATACTGAAAAGGGATCGCCAACATCTTTTAATTTCTCTTCCTGTCATTCCTGCATTTTTGGAAGTTTCAAGAAACAGAAAAAAAATGTTGTTTTGGAAAACACGGGAGGAAAAAAAAAAGCATAATCTCATTTGATTTTTTTTTTAAATGGGAGTTGATAAGGCTGTGAAACTTTAGAAAACTGCTTAAAAGTTTACTCTGTGTGTTACTATWGATACTAACCTTCTTATGCTTCCAAACATCTGTGCATGACCCAAAAATCTTCCAAAATCTATGTGGAACATGTGTCCAGCTTTTGTCAGCATTATGTTGTCACTGTGTCGATCRCAGACTCCCAGGATGAAGGTAACAACRCACCAGCCAGCACAGGAATAAAAGAAATTCCTTATTGCCTAGTGAGTAAAACAACAGCACTTACATGAAATATCCAGGTCTATTTTGTTTGAAATAATATCCAGGTGTATTTTGTTACATTACCAAAAATTAAAGCAAAAGTCAGATCTACAAATGCTGTGCTTGTTGCTAAAATTTTAACAGGTTAAAATTTCAAGAGGTAACAGTGAAAAGAGATTAATGAGATAGTTCTGAGTAGGAATGCTCTGGGAATAATACTCAAATATTTCAAAGTTACAGTGCAAGAACAATTTTATGCATGAAGTTTTCACCTTGTGTTTGGAAGTCTACAGAACACTTTCAGGTTGAAGGTGCCTAAGGAAAGCAAACTTCTTGAAACATCTGCATGTATATTGCAAAAACAAGTGCTAGGAAATTATGTGGAAATGCGCAAATTTCACCATTTGCTTTGTAAAGGATGCAGGTTATTTTGCATCCACTGCACTGTTCTGTATCTACCTGGAGTTTTCTCCTCCAGAAATGAATCTAAATCCCAGTGGATACAATGCAATATAGAAAGCGAAACCCTCCTAATCTGGATCTTAATGTTCTTGGACGAAACCTACATTAGCCAAGGCAAATGATTATTTTGGCTTTCAGGAATTCCAGTGCATGGCAGCACAGGGCAAGACTGAGGCCACAGCACAAGAGCTGGCTGAATTTTATGTSTAACTGTGCTACTTACTCACTTTGATGACCTTGGATGAAACACTTAAGCTTTGTCTGTGATTTTCACCCAACTGTAAAATGAGGATATTAAAGCTTGTTCTGCACCAGTTTGCTGGGCACCTTAGATCCAGTAATGTATGAGTAAAAAAWTATGATGGAGTAAAAAAAGAKAAAGGTTCATTCACTAGCAAGCACAAAGGGAATGCATAGTAGTAATTTTATGCATACCCTATGTAATCAGATCTGACTGCATTTTATATACTTAAAAAATTGGAAGAAATTGGGTAGGAATTGGTTTTAGAAAATTCCACACTAATGGTACTTTTTACAAACAGGAGCAGCAGCAAGAAATCGAGTTTTCGATCAATAATTAGCAGTACCTCACTTTGAATTGAAATGTTGTCTTGCACTTGTACTATAAAGTTGTAAACAAACAAACTTATAAAAAACCCTATTCTRGACAGATTGTTCCTGTTTAATCAAATCAAATGATGTATGAGGAATTCAAGTGTTCTTAGTCAAAATGTGGATGAACAAATGCCTGTGGAATAATTACAAAATTACTAAAGTTTACCAAGCATTTATAATATACATCTACTAAGAAACTGCTATAAAATAATTTCATTTTCAGAGTGGTAAACACTCAAAGCACTCCTTTAAATTTAAAATTTTGGCCACTAATTTATTGTTGGCATGGAAAACTGTTATTAAAATAGTCTCAGAAACAAAAAAAAAATGAGAAGTTTTTCAGAGGCCTCAGAATATGCTCACCCAACAAGGAACTGATAGAAAGATTTCCTTGGAAAACCTTTGCCTCTATAAATAAAACTTCCAATTGTTTGGCTCATGCATAACATCTAGTTGCACAAAATCAGATGCCTTACATGGGATCCCATGAGAACACATGATTTGAAAAGCAGGATTTTCTGTGTTTTGACTATGACCAGGTAGTTTTGATAAAACAGCTTTCTGAAACTATGGGTACTGGCATGATCATTCCTAAGTACAGGAAATTTGTCAAGACTTTATATGGTTTATGTTAAATAAAGAATCTAAAGAGCTGACCTAAAAAAACTTTTTTTTTCTGAGTTCAGAACAATTTCTACTTCAATTTGTCTTCACTTTACTACAAAATTTCAAAACATCTCTATAACACATTTTTATAGAAAATGTAACACCATGCACCTGATAAAAAYCAGTATTTCCTTAGAAAGAAAATGTTATTTAATTGGATTCCGTGGTTTCTGTGCACATGATTTGTTTGTCTCATGTCTGAGACATTTGTTTTAGCTGCCTACTGTAATTTGGTTTTCTTTTTTTTTCCCCCACGGTATAGCACGAAAAGTGTAATAAGCTTCATTATGATGTTACCTCTTGGTARCTTGATTCCAGAGGATGGTGATGGCGAAACCATTTTTTAATTGTGTTTTCTTTCAGTGGTCCTATCAGYCCAGACTCCCTGTGGATCTTCGCTAGTGTGGTAGCATCTGGCACCATCTGTACCARTCCTAATCAGATGGAAAAGAGTTTGCATGAAAAATCCTCAGCTTTAAAAAGATAGGAAGACAATCAATCCGTATTGCCTGTTATTTGATCATTCTATGCAGAAAAAAAATACATAGTTAAAAGCTTATAAATAATGAATACAACAGAAAATATAGATCAYTGTTGTTTTACTTCTGCTCTTTGKAAATTAAAAATAAAGGACACTGAGTGGAAAGGGGCGAATCTGTGAAGGACAAATGAAAGCATCAATAACAATACTGTGGATATAACTGCCTCAGGGTACCAACAAGGTCAAGAATTTAGTGACATTCAAAGTGGATAGAATATGTAAAAACTTTTAAAATTATAAAAAWTAGGATYATATATTTRCTASTAAYGATAAAGTTATTTCATAYGTGTTTGTTGTCTAGAAAGRGACACAAATTTTTTGGCAGTATGTGATGCTGATCAGAGCTGGTAGAAAGGGTACTGGGTAATGCAGAAATTAGTCTGATCCTGTTTGTCACAAACTGGAACTCTGAAGGGCACAGAGAAGCCAAGCATATTKCAATGCTTCACTTGAATCCTSTGTCTCTACTGCATTCACTTTAYTCCATTTTTYGGTACTGAGACCTGGCTTTCCAGCCTTCTGTCCCTGTCCCCACAAGTGGTCCCCTGGCATGCCACCCCGCTGATCTTTCCCTAACCAATTTACTTGGTGACAGGCTCCTTTACTATGCCAAGCCTGGAAAGTGGAATTCTACCAGTGCTTAAAGTTTTCACTGAATTTCTGTGAAAAGAGATTTCTGTGCTTGCATGACCATGAAATTACCATCTCCTACCTCCCTTGTGTGGAAAAGRTGGCCATGGAGTAAGCCACTGGCCTAGGACCTGGAAAACAGTGTACATAAGTCTCCCTAAGCACGTGTCCTGTACAGCCACAGGCCACAGGTCCCTTTGTCCTTTTATCCTTAATTATCAACCGTAAATCAATTATACTAACACTGATGTAACTCATAAGAGAAGACTTCTGGAAAAACTGTGAGACACTRAGGGGTTTTTGCTGCCAGGATGCTGAAAGGAAGAGGCTGTCAGGGAGAGAATATTATTTGCAGATGATCCCTTTATCTCTCTTGGCAAACATCAAATTAAGCGTGAGTATATAAAAGAGTCTATATATAATATCATGTCCAGAAATAGCATTCTGGTATTATCTGCCTTTGAAGCAGAAGCTTTCAAGCTTTGACTCCCATCCCTACAAAGAAGGGAGGAGTTTTTTCCAGGTCACCACAACMACCTGCCATGTGCCTGAACTCMTCTATACTTYCTCTTAGTTCCTTCAGATCATTCCTCCTCTCTCACGGTCACTTTGTGGCTCAGAAAGTAATGATTTTCTTTTAATTTTTCTATTTTAATMRCTTTTGTACAGGTGATCTGGATGCATCAGCCTTCTATTTGAGCTAGRGTTATTTCCAGCAGAAGATTTGGTCAGGGAAATRTWGCCAGCTTACTGCTGTCAGCAGATTTCTACAGCAAGCAATTGGTATCCCTGCTACAGCTCTGCTGTAACAACCATAAAAGAGAGAAATAGAGCTTTCAGATGAGTCAGGCCTGCCCTAAGCAACATAAATCACAAGAATAATATTTCAAAATCAACAGCACAAAGCTGTCATCACTTGTCTGCAGACACTTTCTGTAGCCACACGTATCTAGGCTCATTTAAGCATCTATGTAGACTACACTGGATTAAAACTTCAGTAGCTATGGCCAATTTTCTCCAAAGCCCTCTTTTTGATATGTGAATTTAAGAAWGTTTTGCAAGCTGACAGTRTTGAGGCTTTTGGAAAATTCTAGCCAATGACTTCTAGAGAAGCAGAATAAATAATTTTATATACCACTGTTTACATAAAATATGAATAATGCAATACAGGTTCTTTTTATAATTTAAGACTGACCTTGTCCTTTCCCTGTAGATAAACACCTGTAAATGATCATTTGCATATCCAGTCCCTCTTGGAGCCAAATGTTGTCCATCACTCGAATAATTTGCAGAACCAACATATCTTGACGTAGATCATCACCTATCTGTGAAAATTGCATATGAAATTCAGTTTTCTCCTTCAATACCAGACAGAAATAATGTCCTATTAAATTGAGACTTTTTTGCCCACCAAAGCAGCTACATTCATTTCACAGTAACTACCTTTTGTTTTTTTCAAAGTTCCTACTCACCTTTCCGTGTCAGAAGAGGACAGAGTAGATGGCACACACAGGCAGGAACAGTTTTGGCARCCACTGAGATGGTAACAAATGATCCCTGCTTAACTGTGGCCTTTCTGCTAATTATTCCTATGTAATTATTAGAGTTTGAAAATTTAATCCGGAGGTAGGATCCTAATTTAGTTACATTTTAAAGTCTACCTAATGCTAGATCCCTTTTCACAAATGACAGCGTTTGTCTAGCTTTAAGCCTCACAACTTGGTATTTGMAGGGGAATTTTATAATGAATTTACATTTTATCCATAACATGATTCATATTCAGTTTCAAGCAGTGATGACCTCTCTCCCCATGGAGTTAGTCAAACAATAATCTTAGTAAAATGGGGCTTTAATTGTAGCCAAAAGAATTAATGAAGAGATTATTTTCAACCACGGCTGAGTAAATGGCCTGTGAAAACAGAAGCCCTGATTTTTTGCTTCCCCCCATCCCACTCCACATAAAATATATAACTTTTACTGGTATTTTAAGTGCCTTATTCTTYCATTACATTCTTTTTATACAATCTGCAGACATTTACTGCCAGGAAACGAGTACTTGAGGAGACATAAACTCATCTTGAAAAGACAAAATATCTGAATCTATTTTTCTCTCATTGAAAGGTAATCTTGATTCCAATTAATTCTTCTTAGTACCTAAACATACAAAAAAAATCTTATTCTCTCTACTTACCTTCCCTCACATATACAGTTGGAAGAGACAGTTTAGTAAAACACCCTTATCATTTATTGTGCTTATCATTTATGTATGAGTTATCTGTCATGAATAAGCAAGAGAACTATAGTACAAGTAAAAGATATTTTAACACCATGTTTTGCTGACAGGAAAAGGTGACAGCAGCTATAAYACTTCTACAGCGAATGGACAACAAGTTGGTTGCTGAACATTACTAAGTAGGGCAAATATCATCTGGGTGGAACCAATGCAATAGTTTAAAAGCCCCATAGCTAGGTATTTGCTCAATCAATCACTGATTCCCAAATGAACCATCATATAAAGCAGGTTTCTWAATGTTCAGAAAAACTTTAAATCGCTGATTTCTCCCCCTTAGCCTGCCTGGAAAGCATACTTCTATTTCTGAGGATCACAGCTGCTCTAAAGGGCAATTTAATTTAAGATAGCATAGAATATTTTTTTAAACTTATTTTTATTAATTTTTTAGATTTCTGKTTTGCCAAATGATTCTGCAATAGGTCTAAAAATAATGCCGCTGGCACCACGAACAATTTGTTGTCATCAGCCATTTTATGAACTTGTGTTCTTCTCTAAAACCAGTATCTACTGTTAGGGAAGTCTTTTGCTCTTTTGAAAGGGAACTAATTYTAAAATGAAYRTATTTTCTACTGTGGATGGAYGGCTCTGAATCTGATGCTTTTCTAGGTGACAGCTGCAAAATAAAGCATTGTTTATTTTGAGTCAGTTCCTCYAAAAAACTCCAAYGAGAGATCTCCTTTGCTRTCTCCTCCACCTCCACCTTTCTCAGCCACTCCCTCACGTTGGCTCATAGTGGCAGAATTAGGTCTGTGTGGCAAATGGAGCCTCTAACACTTCAGTATTTTGATTTTTTAGAGGCATAAGAAAAAGGCTGAAGGGTTTAGTCATTCCCAACTATCTCTTCTCTGAGACTTGCCCTCTGACTTTGATGTCATTAATAAACCAGGTTTGAAATATGAACTCTATATTTTAGTCTGGTTGTCTGCACTAAGGAAAAAATTGCACTAAATTGTTTGATTCTCTAATGATCAAAAAGGTGATACTTAAGTTTATTGCCTCAACATATTTCATTAGAAGTTCTAGTGTCAAAAATAAAAGGGATAAACAAGCAGAAGAGCCAAATCAACTGTTCTCAGACTCAAGGTTTAAAATATGAATTAGGTGAATTTTAAATCATCATTTTCCATACCAAAAGACCTGAGGATTAGAGGAAGAACATACCTTAAAAATGACATTGATGGTTCCAGTTGGAGCATTTGCATTGATGAAGGAGATTTTTAATGGAAAAGCATTGGATGTAAAATAAGAACATGACTGCAGGGGAAAGAAAGATGAGACAGAAGAACAACAATGTCACATATACAAAACACCAGGCTAGTGCAATGTCTCTGAAAAAGATACCAGCTTTAAACACTGCTCAGTAGCAGTGGTAGCAAAAATAAATAATTCTTGATCTTAYCGACTGTTTCACAGGGTCTGAAAAACAAAACATTCTTTTCCCCAGACAATTCGCTTCACTTAAATATCAGACCAAATGAATGGATAATATTTTATGCGCTAATTGTTTTTCATTTTCACCCAGGCCTACCAACAATAAGCTTTGGCCCACTGAGTGGATGAAGTACACAAGACTGATCTAATGAGAGTCTTAAAGCATTGAAAAGACTTTGGCCCCATTATCTTCTGAAAAAAAACCACCCCTGCCCAATCAGACAATCTTTATGGAAGCAAAGAACCTGCTAATTTCTTTGAAGGTCTCACTGTGACTGAGGATACCAGGAAATTTTGAAAATCATGATCTATTTTATGTGGAATTTATCTTAATTAAACATAAACTCTGACTTTCATGCTCTACAGCTCCTTCCACCTGAAGATCTCAAAGGGCTTCAAAAAAGCATTAATGAGCCAAGGACCGCAAATCCTCTGAGAGTTTAGGGTGGTATTATTACCCTCATTAAAAACATCCAAGGAGGGGAAACCCCTCAAAACCAACTAAAGACAAAGATAAATTAATGGCCTGGCTCCTGGAAATAATGAGCACCCCACCAGAGCTGCTGCTGTCCTTGCAGGGTGGAGTGTAAGGGAGGTTAATTTGAGCACCACCAGCTCCAGCACCAGCCACAGCTGTCTCCTGCTTTTCATCCAAACATCTCAAAGTGTGGCACAAGCATGCAAATACTGTCTCAGCCACATCAGACCTGTGCCATGGGCCAGAGCCATTATCAGCGGTGAGATCCCGACCCCCCGTGGAATTTTGCCGATTGAAACGTCTCAGTGAGTGCTTGAAAGGTTCCTGTGAGATAATGTGACTGTGAGAGAGCTGAGAGTGGGGCTTGCTACTGGTAAAATCAATATATGACACCAAAATGAATTAAGTTTAGGTAATTATARRCACTTAAAAGTTCTAATTTGCATGATTATACTGRCGTACAGTTCAATCAAGTAACTACTTGTATTTATAGAAAGATAATGGCCTAGAACGATATAAGAAAAATGAAAAAAGAAAAAAAAAATCCCTCATCAGATACTACATTTAAAMATTTTTGTGTTGGTCCACCCAAGCTGGTGCAGTATAAATAGCATGACCCCATTGTGAGATACCTTTCCATTAGTCATTATTTCCAAAAGCCTGAAAGCAGGGAGAAGCAGCAGGCTTCAAATCTTTTTGACTTGGATCACACACAATTTGCCCGAGCCTGTGGGGTGCTGAAAGACCTCTGTTCTCAGCYAGATCAAGGCTGAATAGCAATTACTTGGAGAAACACAGGTCAGAGGCAAWTGAAGGGATCAGCACCTCTTAGAATCAGGTCTACTATGGATAATGAGCCAGAGAACAAAAATAGAGCACAAATTGCTGTAATTAGACAGCTATAACTGGTAATATATATGGCTGCTCAGGTTTGTTTTTGTCTTCATGCTGGATACATTTTTCTTCTCCAGAGATGGGGMACCTTACCCCTGGCATTCTGCTGTTTATCAAAACATTTTTGAACAATGAACAACTGAATCTTAGTATTGCAGTCAAAGTCAAGTCAAGTAACTCTGAAGAGCAYTGTTTTCTCCTTTATCCTTAAGTCATTTTTAATAGGGGTCTTTGACAGGTGAATGTTTAATRTTTTAGMAATTCTCAGTCATGCCCCGAGTCTGAGCTCAGCAAACAGACAGYTGGCTCCAAATTTTTAGCTGCTCCTGTACCTGGCATGACAGAGTCTTGGATGAGGAAAAAACCTGTTGCCAAGGGCTCCCTGGTGGAAACCAAGGCTCAACCTCCGGGTGCCTTTGCCAACCCCACACCACTGCAGGGCAGCTGAGCTGGGAATGGGCTGCTCAGAGCTTGAAATCTCTGGCTGGTGTGAAAAACATGCAACACCCACCCCACCCACCCCATCACTCTGCCTCAAAGGTCTCTGGTTTAAAAGACRATTAGGCTGGATATAAATTTCCCAGATGATTTATGCTCGCTATCAGTGAGATCATATCCAAGTCAATGCAAGCATTCACTCCCTCTCCCCTTTACACTGAAAACCAAAATCCAGATTGAAAATGTGATTGGTCACACTTACATCTGCCTCTATGCCTTGGACAACAAGCGCAGGGTTCAGGGGGAGCCGACAGATCTTCACCTCCTGGAAGAACTGCTGCAGTCTGCTGAGCTCCACGTTTAACACCTCCTGCAACATGGGAGCCCTTATGGCAGCACGACACAACACAAAAGCAGCTCTTTTTTTTTTTTAATGTAGAGTGCAAAGCTCTTTCTGTACTTTAACCAAGCAATGCAATTTCCGGAGCAGAGTAGCATGACTGTGACCTTATAACAGTTAATGAGGTCACACTGAAGTGCAGATATTAAAAGTAAGAACTGTAATTTTACTCCACATTGATGCTTTTCCTGCCTAGGTGTGCTACCAGCTCATACTGTCCTGTAGACTGAGATGGAAAGAGACTGTTTACAAGGGCATGSAGTGACAGGACAAGGGGGAATGGCTTCAGACTGAAGGAGAAGAGGTTTAGACTGGATGTCAGAAAAAGAAGTCTGTCAAACGAGGCTGGATGGAGCAATCTGGTCTAATGGAGGGTGTCCCTGCCCATTGCAGGRGGTTTGGAACAAGATGATTTTTAAGGTCCCTTCCAACCCAAACCATTCTGTGATTCTATGATTCAATAGTCTTCATTAGGGGTTGATAGAGCTCTACTGTGCCTCATGGGTTTTTTTGCCTTGCCTGAGAACTTCACAATTTGTAGCTTGTTGCCTCACCACTGTGATCTCCCCTGCCTAATTCTGTTAACTGCAAGGTTTGGGAGCTTCTCAGTATCACAGTAACTGCAGCCTTGAGATTAATCTCCAAAATCTGAATTATGCATCAGTAATGTATAATGTATTACTACTCTTTCTTTTTCTTTACATGGATTTTCCTTTTGCAAATATTTTTGTCTTTTTACTTCCATGTTTGCTTTGCTGCTCTCAGTAGCAGCACTAAGAGTTATCTGAAAATCCCTTTGAAAATCTTTGAGGCCTTAACAAGGCAGAAAGATTCATGATATCGTTCATGATAACCAGCAGTGCCAAGTATATTTTTATTTGGCTTTCGCTCTGCCTTGCTGAGATTTCAACAAGRAGCTGTTTCACACATCAGGTAAATAACAACAGCTGTCCTGGKAAATTAACAGTTCTGAGCTGGAAGTGTACCTATGCAATATAAAAGCTTCACCCACTGGAGAAGACAACTGCAAGTTTCTACTGCCAGGGARGTATCTCTGCAGATATGTGTTCAATGTTCATTGCTAAATGCTGTATTTGAGATATTACCTACATTCCATTCTAGCTGTCTCTGTTAAGAAATGAGGAGTCTGGACATAAAAAAATGTCCAGCCTGCCAAGAACAACTCTTGGCAAAGCCTTCAAGAAATACTGGAGCTCTACAGGAGTCAAATATTTTGGGATGAGGTGCTGAGTGTGAGCATTCCTCTCAGTGAAATGACAATCAGTTTTGCTGCCATTATTTCTGGCCACCTCCAAGTCCATTTGAGAAACCAATGATGAAGGAATTTAAATGGCTTAAAAGATCTGCAGACCTCAAGAGTAATAGTGATGAGAGTTTTCCCAARAATATCTATGTGTTACCTTTTCTCAAAGCAGAAAAACATTAGTTAGTTAGTTACATAGTTAAATATTTGGTTTATATAGGTAAAGGGTGTTAAAGGAAAGAGGTGYTTCCTTAGAAAAAATAAAATTCCCTAAAGAAACTTAGATAGAAGAAAGAAGGGGTAGGATTTTTTTAACAAACCTTTCTTTTTGGGTCACTGGCAGCTTTCACTTTTGTGGCAATGTCTTCCAGAATTCTGATGAGTTTTTCTTCCTTTGAAAACTCATTGTTCAGGGATTGTCCAGCACAAAATTGGAGAGCAGCCAGGAGTTTCTTATACCACATTCTGAAATGAACTTCATTCTGTGCATTCTTCAAYAGCCTGAAGGAAAGAGGGGAAAAAAAAATCTGTGCATCTAAAACTGAATTTTATTTTATATCAATTCTAGCAGGAACAATATATGGACTCCAGAATAATCTATATTTGGTCACTTTGGGCAGCAGAGAATGAAAAAAAAGTTATTGCTTGTAGGCAATAGGATTCAAATCTCATTTTATAACTAATGAGACTCCAAACATCTTGAATAAACAGAAAACTGCCATTTCTTACTGTCATACACAGTGCAGTGCCTGTATTGCTTCTTATTTCTGCAACAAAAGTTTACAAAGTGGAAAGAAGTTGCATTTTTGAAGTCCAGGGTTAAATATATATCCCTATTCTTTTTTTTTTCTCCTGCCAATACACTTCTACAAGCAAGCACATCTGTCAGCCAGGAGGTGCATTTAAAGACTCTTTCAGTCTCAGATGTATCATCAATTCTAGAAACTTTCACTATTTTAAGCTGAGGAGACATTTCTGAWATTGGCTATACTGCTAAAAAGAGTGGAAGCAGCCCATTTTATTCCTTTCTTTACTGGTAAGTGTTGGTYTAAAGCAAAACTCAGCTTTTAGTTCTTCTGAAACTTGTAAAAGCTTTGGAACTGGAGTTATTGCCAACATAAAAGTCAGAAATAAAACCAAAACCACACTCATTTTAATCGTATTCACCATGCAGTCTTCTCTAATTACACATTTATTTGGGTCAGGAAAGCTGTGGAGTTTAGAGGGTTTTTTTAGTTAATCGAATTGATCACTGGGAAWTTTTTTCCTTATGTGGGCCAGAGGTTTTGTACACTGTTTGATTTRTTTTTGTAAGTGCAGATGGAATCACCAACTCTTGTATTGTCGTTAACATCCTGCCCACCGCCTGGGATTTCCCTTTGCCTGAASAACTGGTGAATTGCTCTTTGCTTTTGCATGAACTCTCCCCCTCACAACTTCATCCTTAAGAACATCTCAAACCTCAAATTCCTTTTGAACATCTGAATCTCACAGTTTCCCCTGCCTAACAAATAATGCTAGTTTTCACAAGACAGAAATCAGAAAAAACTCTTGACTTTCAAGGCACATTGCAAGAATGAATATGTCACATGAGTATGTCACAGAACTAAAAGCAAGAAGATATGATTTCAAGCACTGATATTTAAAGGGGAAAAACTGTAATTCCCATAGACACTTCAACCCCTTCAAATCATATATAAGGCATTACTGTAGTGTTACTGCAGCACAGGCCTCTTTTGGTGATGATTTTTTGATCCTTGTCATATTTTATAAGGCAATAATTCTTCTAGGTCCTCTTTTCCTGTATAATTCAATGCACAACAATATCACCTACTGGTTTCTGAAAAGCCTTTCCAGTTATAGAAAACCTCTGAACATCTGAGGATTTGAAAATCTTTAAAGAATGAGTGGTGTTTCTACCAGAAATGCCTAGACATGAAAGGGAAGCAATATGAGAAGTTTATCATCAACACTCTCTGGAGGAGTCTGAAATTACTTTTTTTTCCCCCTGTAGACTAGCAAAAACAAATAATTACTTTTTGGATCTGAAGGGAGTACAAGTTGTCATTGCAGTGCCTGGTGGAAGGCAAACCTCAGCACACAGAGATGTTCTCATCCTGAACCCTTGGCAGGCCAAGGAAGGCTGAGAGCACATGCATATATGGCAGTGGATAAACAAATTCTTTCATGTTTTGATAAAATCCCAGATTCCACAGGATGGGATTCATTTGCTTAAATGTCAATAGCTCATGGCATTTTAGAGATCCTAGGAAATGCATTTCCTCCAGCTGCTGCCTTGGAAGGGCATGGGTCCACCAAAGGCAACCCCTCRTGTGTCACTCCCATGCAGATGTCCCAGATTCCCTGTGCTGTCTAAACCAGCCAGTGTTTGGGGCACTACAGCACACTCTGCAGTGCCCTTTCAGCTCAGTAGGCAAACAAGGCCATTTAAAATAAAAACCACACTCTGTCTGCTTCAACAGCAAGGCAGGAAGAGGCTTGGCGATTCTCTTTTTAATAAAAGCATCACTGGCACAGTCCAAATTGTCAGCCAGGCAGGAATTTTAGTCTACCAAAGCAAAGCCCAGCTCTCCCTCAGTCCAGCTAAACAGTTTGCATTTTTCCTGGCACACAGTGAGATTGAAGCTGTTTACTTTTTCCCTGCAAACACAAGTGCACCTAAGAAAAGACAACAATCACTGTGATATCTATTTTGAACTGAACATCTAATGCTGGTGCAGAACCTTGTCTGCACTAAGGCTTGCACTGGAATCAGCTCCTGGKTATCTAAATCATATTCATTCACCTACTTCTTTTTTAATAGTACATGTTTAGGGRATCCATAAGGGCTACCTTTTCATGTTTGAGATGTCCCTTTAATCYGCTCAGATACAGAGAACATTAAATCAGCTTTTATTTCCCTAAAATGAAAGGCTTAGGATTTCACATACAGGAAGCAAAACAGCAAAACCAAACTGGTTTACTATTTCAAACAGAACTACTCCCTGCATAACACAGATCAACTTAGAAGATCCATTTTTTGATTATTCTTATGGCTGAGTGTTCACAGAAAATAAGCTTATATACACATATGATATAATGATTTTTTTCAGCCTGAGAAAGGATTATGGTCCAGATTCAGAGAGCTTATGCATCAGGTGTACATGAGGACAGAGRATGTACAGAGTCTGAATCCCCTCACATGTGATTCTTGAGCCCAGTCCATGGGGAAAGCTGARGCAGTGATGCTGATGTCACTGGTAAAATCCATTTCCCTGCCAGCACACACTCAGTCTGAACACACATGGCAGCTTCTGACAGTCCATGTGCTTCCCCAACAGTTCCCACAAGGGGCTTGAGGTTCTACACTCCAAAGGTGTCAAATGTCTGTGGTACAACAGCACAGCTTCCTCTGCCTCCCCACTGCTCCTAAAAGCCCACACARCTTCATTAGCAAAATGGTTTGTATTAACAGGGACTGACTTTTGTATTCATTTTATAAAAGTGGTCCCAAAGAGGATACAAAAGACAGCTTTTGATGTGGTGACTCGTTGTAGGCTTCTTTGTAATGTTTCTTCCACAATTGAATGGATATGTTGCTGCACTTCTGCCTTCCCAACTTCCTGGCACACACATCTTCACCCTGCCATGGTGAGAACTCAGCAAAGATAGGAAAATCTGAAGTTGCAGGATGATGAAACACTCAAGATGCTAATGAAATTTTCACGTTAGAAGAGGATGCCTAGCTGTGACAGAAGAAGACAGAATTGGAATGATTTAAAACACGAAGCTGCCAGWAAGGAACCCATGAGAAGTTGTTTTTTTCCTGATAATTTTCACAGTATTCTGCAAGACAGAACTCAGTATAAAAGCCTGGCTTTATGTCAGGCCTAGACTGAGCATCTTGGTCCTAATAACAGAGAGATTTCCTTACTCTTCAGGTTCTCTGACTGGGGACAAACACCCTCACTCTTAGCAAACCCTGTCCCCAGGTCACTTCTGTGAAACAGTACAGAACGAAGGTGACCTGAAATCCAGCAACAAAGCAAGCCAGGTACTGGGGTGCCCTGAATGATGCCTCTGCCTTCTGCAAGCAGCTGCTTCTCCTCCTTTCTGCATGCACCTGCTCCATGCCTGCAAGGTGGCTCCAGCCCCATTTCCTGGCACTCACAGCTGTGTTTTCTGGGTGTAGAAACGCGAATGTGCTGAGAGATTTTTGCCACAGGGAAGAAAGAATGGTGGAATTGAAGCAGGCTGACTTGGCTGCTGTGTCAGAGAAGGAGAAACAGGCTAAACCCAGCAGCAATAGAGAAAAGGATAATTAAGGAAAAAAAGGAAGAAAAAAAWAAGGAATGAGATTGGATGGGTCTTGGTAGAAAAACAGGTGAGCTGGCCTCATTCTCCCTCTGTGGTGCTGGAAGACAGGGAAGCTGACACAGTCTGYTCTCTGAGTTGGATTTGGCAGACAAACGAAAGAGTGAGGCAGCTCAGACAACGCTGCTCTTTGAACATCTGCTCCTTGTCTCCCTCAGAAAGGGGAGCAGGATGAACCAGAGAGCAATGCCTGACAGGAAAGATCAGCTCACAGGTAGCCTTATACAAAAAGAAACAACAACCAAAAACCCTAGAAGAAAAGGGCAGGATTTCCAGTATCTTATTTCAAGTTTAGTACCTACCTGTGATGAAGGAGCAAGGCACAGTTTGACCAGGTTATTTAGACATGATGTCAGGATAGTGACCCTGGTAATTTGTTTCCAAGTGCTCTCTGGTATTTATTACACAGAAGTTGTGCCTACCAGCACACATTCTGTATGCTTTGCTTAAGGTGTTTTGAATTCAGAGACACACCATGAAAATAAGGTGACTCAGGGTTCTAAGGGGAGTGCTGAGGTACCTCCTGCTGTTGGTCAATCTTTGGTAAACCTGACTGAGGAAGTCAATATGCTTTGTTCTGAAGGTGTATTTCATGTGTGTTTTCTGTTTTGCTAAGTTGGAGGCAGGACAAGTCACARAAGAAGGAAACAGCAGCAGAAGACTGCTGTTTATTATGGCAATAATTGGTTTAAAATAATTCTCTACATCCCTTTCTGTCAAAGATTAGCACATAAAAACACTTTTCTACCACTACATGGCTTCTGTGTCTGRGGTTGCCATCTGTCTTGATTATCCTCAGATATCCTGCAAAACTCCTAATCTGTCCTTCGTGCTTTATTGTGCCACGGAGCTGCAGCACACGCCTGAAGCTTTTAACTGTTTTCATTTTCCACTCCTCAAAGAAAAAAAWTCCCTGTTTGCATTCCTAAACAGGACAATAAGTAACAGGGCCTGTAGGACTTCATTTGGGCTTTTCAGCTCCTTAAGTCTCAGTGCAAGTTCCCCAGAGRCACATGGATTGCAGGGATAACAAAAATGTACACTGAAGATTAGGAACTCCATCCATGCTGGGACAGGTCACAAGGATGAGCAGGCAACTGCTGCTATTAACTAATTACTCAGTTACA